GTTCTTGTGTTACCTTGTGATGTTGCCACTAAACAGAACACTCATGTTCACCAGCAATTCATTGAACAATCTTTCCTTTGGCTTATTACTATGAAATCTATTTACTACCAATCTTTGTAGTTCTACTGTCTTGCAATTCTTTGATGCTTTCTAAATTGAAGTTTGAAGCTAAGTCACAAGTTGCTTTATTGTCAAAATTTGATTCTAATCAGACTTGCTCTGCAAACCTGCAAAGAGATTAAAAACAAAACTGAATAATCAGATACTAGTAGCAGCTCTTGAATTGTTGTTCAGGTCCACATGAAGGCAGGCATTAAATCATTCTACGATGATGAGAGTGCAAGTAACCTCCCTTAAGCAGTTTGGTGAGAATTATAGAAAATAAGAAAAACCTGATGATTCATAATATTATGCAACACAGTGGAGGATAAAAGGTCTACATCTTCCAAAATTATTTCAATCTACTCACAATTTTGTCATAGTCCCTGTTATAATATAAACAGTATTCTATCAATATTTTTTCTTGACCTTAGTTGCATGATCTGATCAGCTGAAAAGCCATGTAGCAATCAGAAAACCATGTTCTACTATTTCAAGTGTGTTCAATCAAAATCATAAATTAGTGTTTTACAAGCCTTTGGCTTTATTTGTTAAATTAATTAAAGATAATTTCTCTTGAAAAAACAAGAAAATGATATACATGACAAACAGATATGTACACAGTCATATAAAACACTAATCATAAATTAGTATTTTACATGACTTATGGTTTGATTTGTTAAATTAATTAATTATATTCTCTTGAATAAACCAAGTAATTTGCATTCCTAGGAGAGATACAAATTTGTTTACAATCATGAAAAAAATAATATTATAAATGTCTGAAAAAGAGGGACAGTTTACATACCCAGGAGAAATATAGAAAATTATATACATGACAAACAGACATGTCAACAGTCTGAGATAGTACGTTTTACCTTGTATGGGCTGCAATCATATACATCACTAATAAACTGTCATATAACTCAGTGTGTTGTCCAAAGTCTCACCTTGTTTGGGTTGCAGGCTGACGTAGTGGACTTCATGAACATGGCCTAACACAAGTGGGTCGGTGCTGATCACATGACCATCAGGCCTGATAGTAAGGTCATGGTGATTTGACTGACTGCTGATCACGTCAATGTAGGTTTTATAGTGGTTTGCAGTTGCATACAGAATCACGTGATCGCCCCATGTGCCATCTTGCTCCATGTTTGTAAGATAATCAGCCCATGACTGATATCCATTGATGAAGTTAAACAAATCTGTTCCATCAGGCTGTAAGAAGGGAGAATAAAAAGGCTAACTTTTAACGAGGTCAGTACACACATATACGTGTGATGGCAGAAATGTCCCTCCCTAAAGTTAAAATTATGTATAATGGAGAACCAAGTATTGAGATCTTGTTTCACAACAAATTATTTTAAGGCAACTAATCCCTACAGGTTCATGGTAATGTCCAGTTTTCTGCCATCTTATCGGACTGCAAGTCCAATTCAAATGCTGACACAAATGCTGGAGTCTGATCACTTGGAGCATTATTTTTCCCAAGCCCCAAATTATTGTTTAAAGATATTTCAATCCGAAACAACAAAATAAAACACTAAACTTACCAGTTTTGGGTTCTTTCTGAGGTACTGCACTATGGATTGTCTTAATTCTCCATGTGAGATCTCAATTCCTTTCACAAGGTTCAGTTGTTCAGACAGCGCATGAAACATGCAGTTCCCTGACCCTTCATTGTCAGAAATCACAAAGCCTTTGTCTGATGCAATCTTCTCCAACTCTGCTGATAGATCAGTATTACTGTTGACCTTGCTTACATCGCATTGCATTTGCTGAAGATTCATGAACATTTGCCCAAGCAGATCTAAAAGAAAAAATATGTAAATTAAGGTTATTGCACAAGGGGTACTCACTCAAACCTTTGGCCTGGATGGAACGTGCCATTTGTTACTTCAAATCCTATTTGAAACCAAAAATGACAGTGTGTAGTCTCATATGCACAGCCCCATGGAAAGATATTTATGATATGGTCCTGGAAATACGCTTTCAAGTTCTCTATGTAAAAGAAGTATACAAATCAATTACCAATTCTGAGTAAAAAATTTACGGTATCTAGAGCAACGAGGCAAAATCTGAAAAACTTTCAGACCAAAAAAGCTCAAAAATCAAGCCCTTTGACTCCCACACCCCCATATAGCTCATTTCTGGGAGTAATGCCTCCCCCTGTTTCGTTCCATGTTCACACTGTTATTCCGGAAAATATTGCTACATCCTAGTGTTGTTGCTACATGTTTACCTGGGGGTAGTGGAGATTCAATTGTGATCTGTCTTGCTGCAGACTCTGCTGAGTCTCTACACTGACTTGTGAAATATGCTTCATGTCTTACAGGTTTTTCTGAAGCTATGAAAAAGAATTAATCAAATTAATCCATCTGTCCCCACACCCCACCAGCTTCTCTGCATGCTCCCCTTTAATAGGAAGACAAGGCAACTTCACTTTGACCCCCCAACATGCCCCAACCCAGTTTTGGAATATGTCTGGACCCACCAGACTGGAAAGTACAATTTCTCTTGTCAAAACACTTGGTAAAGAACTAAAAAACTAATTGAGCTTTTCACAGGGGCCCCTTTTTGTAGAGAAAAAAGGCGTTATATCTTTACTAGGATCCCCATCACCCTCACACCCTGACTTTGAACCATACCTGGATCCACTTAAAGTAAACATTGTTCTATAAAACTTGATAAAAGGGCTACAGACAATTACTGCATCATTCTGTGGATATCTCGTGAAACAGATATGAACAGGAGAAAACAACACCACAAAACAAATCCGGTGAATCTTACTAATGTAAATTTATTTAAATCAAAGCCTTACCATTAACCAAACTCCTCATCTTCTCAACAAGGGCTTCACACTGTTCCTTCCAGCTGAACTTCTCTTCATAAGATGTTCGCAGTGCTTTAATCTCTTGCAGTCGCTTTGATCTGTCTTTCAGACTTATTGCTTCAATTGCCTTGGCCCACTCTTTAGGATCAGCAGAATCCACCACAAATGGCTTGCCTAGTGGTAGAGTGCGCAGTGTATCTCCAAATCCCGAGTTTCCACTCACAAGAATGGGAAGACCAGCAGACAAGGCTTCCAATGCAGTTAATCCAAATCCCTCTGTCCTGGACGGCATGATAGCAAGGTCAACTTCACAAAACAACTCTTTCAATTTTTCCTTGCTTTGTATAAATGTTCGGACAATCAACTG